GAGCCCACTGCCCTGAAAGGTGAGTCCCAAGCCAAGGAGGCTTCACCACAAACGGACAGAAGAGCCCTTGGACCTCAGGGAGCATCAGCAGTAGTCTGGCAATACTCCCCATGGGCATGTGGCAGCCCTGGCCACGGGGTGCGGCTCCTCTGCTTTTGAAAAGGGGAGGGAAGAGTGAGAAAGACTGTATCTTATGGTTTGAGTGCCGGCTCAGCTGTGATACCATAGAATATCGGGCAGATTTCTAAGGATTTTTACTTTTGTCCCTGGCTCCCGGATGGCCCTCTGGACCTTCCTGGGGCCTAGGGGACCTCACTACCCTGAAGAGAAAGACACAGGCCTGGTTGGCTTTCCCACCTGCTGATTTTAGAGCTGTGAGGCCTTGAGCAACCATGAGTGGTAGTTATGAAGTGGTTACAGCAGGCTGTGGCTGAGATTCAGTGTTGGGCTAGCTTCAGACCTGAACCAGGGCACTTTTAGTGGTGGTTGCCACAGGGGTGCTTATGTAACTCCACCCTTAGTTCCAAGTGGCTCAGAACACAGACAAAGATTCTGTTTGGAAGAAAGACAAGAGTGTTTGTCTGGTAATCTGTCGAATTCATCCAGATCTTGTTCAAGAATATCAAGGTGGTACCTCGATGAGTCTGCAAGAGCTACAGCATTACTGGGCTTGGTGTGCCCCCTAAAGTAGACACACCTTAGATCACAACACACATGTCCTTTTGAATATCTGGAATGTCTTCCTAAGTAGGATATGTACAAACAAGTCCAGATGGTAAAGACTATAATAAATTCATAACTTTTCAATGCCCAGACACGGATCATCTACTAGCATCAACACTATCCCAGAAAACATGACCTCAGCAGATAAACTAAATAGCCAATAGGGAACAACCATGTAGAAACAGAGATATGTGGCCTTTCAGACAGAGAATTCAAAGTAGCTGTTTTAAGGAAACTCAGAGAAATTCAAGAAAACACAGAGAGGGCATTCAGAATTCTATCAGATAAATTTAACAAAGAGATTGAAATCATTGAAAAGAATCAAGTAGAAATTCTAGAGCTAGAGAATACAATTGGCATGCAATACATTAGAAATATCCCTCATCATGACCAAGTGGGATTTATCCTTGAGATGCAAGGATGGTTCAACATATACAAATTTATCAATGTGATGCATCATATTAACAGATGAAGGATAAAAACCATATGATCATTTCAACTGATGCTAAAAAAACCATTTGATAAAGTTCAACATCACTTCATGATAAAAACTGTTAAAAAAAACTGAAGATAGAAAGGACACAACTCAATACAATAAAAGCTATATATGATAGACACACAGCTAGTGTACTGAATGGGGAAAAACTAGAGCCCTTTACTCTAAGATCTAGATCATGACAAAGATGCCCACTTTCTCTACTATTGTTTAATATAATACTGGAAGTCTTAGCTAGAGCAATTAGACAACAGAATGAAATAAAGGGCATCCAAATTGGAATGGAAGAAGTAAAATTATTCTTGTTTGCAGATTATATGACCTTATATTTGGAAAAACCTAAAGACTTCATCAAAAAACTCTTGGAACTGATGAGCAAATTCGGTAAGATTGCAGAATACAAAATTAGCATTTAAAAATCAGAAGCATTTCTATATGCCAATAGTGAACAAGATGAAAAAAATGTAATCTCATTTATAATAGTCATAAATAACATTAAATACTAAGGAATTAACCTAAGAAGTGAAAGATCTCTATAATAAAAACTATAAAACACTGACGAAACAAACCGAAGAGGAAACAAAAAAGTGGAAAGGTATTCCACATTCATGAATGGGAAAAATGAATATTTTTTAAATGTCCATACTATCTAAAGCAGCATACAGATTCAGTGCACTCCCTATCAATATACGAACGACATTCTTTACAGAATTAGAAAAAAAATCCTAAAATTTATAAGGAACCGTAAAAGACCCTGAATAGGCAAAGTTATCTTTAGCAAAAACCAAAACTGGAGGAATCACATAACTGGATTTCAAATTATACTACAGAGCTATGTAACCAAAACAGCATGATACTGGCACAAAAACAGACACATAGATCAATGGAACAGCATAGAGAACCCAGAAACAAATCCACACATCTACAGTAAACTCATTTGTAACCAAAAGTGCCAAGTACATACACTAGGGAAAAGATAGTCTTTTCTATAAATGTGCTGGGAAAACTGGATATTCACATACAGGAGAATAAAACTACACCCCATCTCTCACCATATACAAAAATCAAATCAAAGTAAATTAAAGACTTAGATGTAAGACCTCAAATTATGAAACTACTACAAGAAAACATTGAGAAAACTCTCCAGGACATTGGTCTGAGCAAAAATTTCTTGAGTAATACCCCATAAGCACAGACAATAGAGCAAAAATAGACAAATGGGATCCCATCAAGTTAAAAAGCTTCTGCACGCAAAGGAAACACTCACTCCACAAAATGAAGAGACAATCCACAGAATGGGAGAAAATATTCGCAAACTACCCATCTGATAAGGGATTAATAACCAGAATATATAAGGAGCTCAAACAACTGTCTAGAAAAAATAATCTAATAATTTAATTATAAAATGGCCAAAAGATCTGAATACACATTTCTCCAAAGAAGACATACAAATTGCCACCACACATAGTAAAGGGTGCTCAACATCATTGATTATAAAATAAATGCAAATCAAAACTACAATGAGATATAATCTCACCCCAGTTAAAATGGCTTATATCCAAAAGACATCGACAAATGCTGGCAAGGATGTGGAGAAAAGGGAACCACTATACACTCTTGGTGAGAATGTAAATTAGTACAACCACCGTGAAGAAAGTTTTGGAGGTTCTTCAAGAAACTAAAAATGATCCATCAATCCCACTGGATATACCCAAAATAATGGAAATCTGTATCAAAGAGGTATCTGCACTCTCCTGTTTGTTGTGGCACTTTTCACAATAGCCAAGATTTTGAAGCAACCTAAGTATCCATCAACAGATAAATGGATAAAGAAAATGTGGTATTTGTATACAATGGAGTACTATTCAGCCATAAAAAGTGATGAGATCCTTTAATTTGCAACAACATGGATGAAACTGGAGGTCATTATGTTAAGTAAAATAAGTCAGGCACTGAAAGATGAACATCACATATTCTCACTTATTTGTGAGATCTAAAAGGAGAATCAATTTGTTTTGGGAAGGGAAGAGCAGTTTCTTCTTCTGTTTAATAAACCTTGACATTGAGATGCACTCAAGGGCCTGGGGTAGAAGTGGAGAAGTGACCCACATTATGTCTGCCCTCCTAAAGCCTGAAGCAGGCAGAGCAGGTCCCTCCAGGTGCAAAGAACACTCAGGAGTGGATGGAGCAGGCAAAGTGCCCTGTAAGAGGAGCAGGGCAGAAAGGCTTCAAGGAATAATATAATTATTGCCTAAAAGTTATTAATTTCCTATACAATATAAACTGTTCTCAGCCACATAAGAAACTCAAGAGACTTCTACAATGTTTGAAATATGCATCCCATATTTCTAAGCCATATTGAATTAAGCCAAGAAAACAACTTAACAAAAATATACACATTAATGACCACAGTGATGCAATAATTACAGCAATAGGTCAGGCACAGTGACTCGTACCTGTAATCCCAACACTTTGGGAGGCCAAGGTGGGTGGATCACTTGAGACTGGGAATTCAAGACCAGCCTGACCAACATAGAAAAACCCCGTCTCTACTAAAAATGCAAAACATTAGCTGGACGTGGTGGCACACACCTGTAATTCCAGCTACTCAGGAAACTGAGGCACAAGAATCCCTTGAAGCCAGGAGATGGAGGTTGCCGAGACGCATCGCTGCACTCCAGCCTAGGTGACAGAGCAAGGCTTGTTAAAAAAAAGTACAGCAATGTCCAGATGCGCAGGTTCTGGAACATGGTGTGATCATGGCTCATTATAGCCTCAACCTTCTGGGCTCAACTGGTCCTCCCATTTCAGCCTCCCAAGTAGCTGGGATTATAGACACATGCTACCACGCCAGGCTAATGTTCAAATTCCTTGGGGAAAGCAGTATGTAGTATTCATATTTGAATTTTATTTAATAAGTATTTTAGATTTAATATAGCATAACAAATATTTACTGGATAAGTGGACAATTGAATATTTGATACTCTACATCTTATTTCTCTGAAACTTACATACTTGAAAACTCAGCTCAGATATCACTTTGTGCTAGAAATTGTCCCTAAAACTTATTTTCTCCCCAGGCTAATATGTTTTCTATAATCTCTTAACGAAATTCTGGATTCAAAACCTACCACTTGGTAAAGACTGTTAATCCTCAATAGCAGTCCTTCATCTTTCAGGAACAAACCATGTTGGCCAAGACAGCCTCCAATAAGGGTGTATAAATGGCTGGAATTGTCCCAGCAGTGAACAGCTACATCAATATCAGTAAGTTTTATAAAGTATTGTATCATGAGCACTGCCATCAAACAGAGAATACAACTCAAAAAAGGTGAGGAGGGAGGGGAGACATATTTTAATTATTTATTTAAAATTAATTTCAAATTTACAGAAAACTAGCATAAATAAAAGTAGTACAAAGAACATCTATGTACCCTTTACATAGACCCAACTATTGTTAACTGTGAACTCTTTTTGCTTTTTCATTTCTCCCTCTCTCTCCATTTTATACTTTATAACTTTTATCTTCTAAATAGTATCATTATGTATTTCCAGAATATGAAAATCTCCTATAGAATCAGAAAGTAGTTATGAACTTCAGTAACTGTAACATCAATATAATATGACTGATTAATGCATTTTGAAGCGAGACAGAGTGTAAAATTGAAAAGCTTTCTAGTACAGGGAAGCAATTTCTAAAAGAGGTGTGAAAATAAGATGAAACACCAGGGCAGTCGCAGAGTCTGGGAAATAACACGGGACCAACACTCTCATATCTGGCGTGCAGAGAGAAGGAAAACTAAATTACTGTCAAAATGGTCTACTTCATAGTTTTTTGAAAGGCAGGTCCCACAGTTAACATTTTATTCAGAGCCCCCATGATATCCTTATTCCTAAGACTATAGATCAAAGGATTCAGCACTGGAGTGAGGATGGTATAAAAGACAGATACCATCATGTCCTTCTCGGGAGTGTGGTAGGAGCTGGGGAGCATGTAGGTATAGATGGCAGCCCCATAGAAGAGGATGACCACAGTCAGATGGGAGGAGCAGGTGGCAAAGGCCTTTTTTTTGCCCTCTGCTGTGTTCATCCTGTGGATAGTGAGGAGGATGCATAAATAGGAGCTTGAAATGATTGTCACAGGAACGAGGAGCATGAGGACACAGCATAGGTACATGAAAATCTCATAGATTGAGGTGTCTGAACAGGAGAGTTTCAATACAGCAGGAACTTCACAGAAGAAATGATAAATCTCCCGGGATCCGCAGAAGGGGAAGGTCATGGTGATGGGAGTGAACATGAAGCCATCCACTGAGCCCAGGAACCAGCAGCCCGATGCCAGGAACAAACACGCCTTATAGCTCATGAGGACAGGATAACGGAGAGGATGGCAGATGGCCATGTAGCGGTCATAGGCCATGGCGGCTAGAAGGAAAAATTCCGAACCTGCTAGTGTCACATAGAGGAACATCTGCATCCCACACGCAGGGGCTGAGATCTTATTCACATCCATGACCTGGTCCAGGAGCATCTTGGGTACAGTGACAGAAATGTACACCATGTCCATGAGAGACAATTGACTGATGAAAAAGTACATGGGGGTGTGGAGGTGGGCATCAGAGTGTATCAGAAGGATGAGGAAAGCATTTTCAGACAATGCCATTAGGAAAATCACAAAAATGACCACACAAAGTAGAGCAGGATGTTTGGATTGTCTGAAGAGTCCCACCAAGATGAAATCTGACCATCCAGTGTGGTTGGCCATCCAGGTGACGTTGGCCATAAGGTTTCACCTAAGTAACCAAGGAAAGCTTGGGGTTGTTATTCTAGCCTCTGAAACAAGTGTGTGTGTGTGTGTGTGTGTGTGTGTGTGTGCTAAGCAAAGAAAGGCCCATGGGCCTGTAGATCTGGGGGTTATAAATTATCTATAATACAACACATTTACCAGGAACTAAGAATTCACAACTGCGGATCAAAATGGTGATTTGTACTAAAATTGCTACAGTTCTGAGTCATGAGATTTCCTGATGAGAGCATCTGTTATATACAAGTCCTAGAAACTGGCATGTCACTGCCCTATGCAGACACAAATAGTGAATTATTGGAAAAAAAGAGAAGTTGGTCCCTTGCTTTTAGAGTTTTTTAGGGAAGTCTGAAGTGAATTACATTCTCTGCTTTAAGGGTTCATCTAGAAACTTAAAAACTCTCAGAGGTGTATTTCATATAGTAATTATTTAGAAAGTGACTAAAATATCATTTGTGGAAAACTCATACCAAACATTTGCACTCTTCCACCCACAGTATTGGACAATGCTGTGAGGCTCTGTGGTTTCATGGAGCAAAACCCCACACATCCCCATGAGCAGGGCGGGGTCCTTCTGCACACCAGACACCTCAGAAGCCCGAGGCGCATGGGACGAGGAGCCCAGAGTCAGTGGCTGGACTGCGAGGTGGACCCAGCCTCCCCTCTATCTGGTATTTCTATGTTCATTGAACATAAAAACAGACAATATGAAAAAGTTTGATTTCAGGGTTGATGAAGATTAAATGCAGAAAAGTAATAAAAGTGCTTAGAATATTACCAGTTACAGATGAATAAATACATATACAATCAAACACTTAATATCTACATGAATTATTCTGCAGACTCCATTACTATTATTATCTAATAATATGAGTTTCATTACTTCAGTTTGCTGATTTTATCATCTATTCAGATATTTAAGAATTTGGATTTGATAATTTCTGTAGTCTTAGACAACTTGTATATATACAGGTTACACTTATTTTATATAAATTCATATAAATGTATAGATGTGCATTTATATATACATATATATAATATGTGCAGATTCACAAATATAAGAATACATTTTATATGGATATTTACAAATAGAAATGCATATATTAATATAACACATATTTCTGACTTTTATCTTGGTTAAGCAGAGATTTATGGAGAATCCTATCTCCTTTGTGTCTAGTGTATGCTTCTCCAAGCTTAACTCCTTAAAAGCTCCTGTCATTTGCATTAAATCTCAGGGGCCATAACTTGGATTTAGAAACTCCCTGCCATTTACCAGGCACGACTTTTGCTGTTTTTGCAAACATCATCTGCTTTATTGCCTGCTACAGTCAATTTTTTCATGGAAACTAAGAGGCAGAGAAGAAACTAAAACAACACTAAGATGTCTCTGACTTCAATTCCCTCCTCTGTCTTGCTCCTTACAGCCTGCCTCTGTGTTAGATAGTCCAGGAATCAAAGCAAATTAAATTTGATTAAGCTTGAGGAGGTCACAGTCAATCTACTCAGGAAAAAAATATAAACATGATCTAAAGTACAACTTCAGATTAGAATAGTTATGAAATAAATTAACAAGGCTAACAGAAGCAAAATGCATTTAGCCTTTCTGAAGAGAATCACTAATAACTCCTACATTTTCTCTTAAGATTAAAACTTTGCAATTTTTCAACTTCTGATAGATGTTAAATTTTAGTATTTATCAATAAGAAGAAAATATAGGTTTCTTTTTCTGGGAAGACTTTAGCAGTGGTTAACATACAGTCATTTTTCAGGAAGAATTTCCACGTTTCAAATACATTTTATATTCTTTTAATAATTCTAAATTAAACCGTATTTCTAAGTTTTGGGGCGCTGTTGCAGTAGACAACACTGCAAATGAATTTGGTGTCTTAATTTAAATGCTTGTGAAACATGGGACATACTGCATTTAAAATTATAACATTCCTTTATAATCCCACCCTCACTGGCAAATGAAAGTCAGCACCTGTGCAAAATTTTTAAACAGTCTGACAAATCATGCACCTGCTGACCTAGTCTGTATTTGAGGTCAGAGTGAAGTAAGGGCCAGCGCAGTGACTGGCACATGTGAAAACCGGGCAGCTATTTGCTAAGTGAGTGGAGGGAGAGCAAGAGGGCAGTGCTGGAGGGAAGGTGGATGCTGGGCAAATCTCTCCTGCACTTTTGTAAATGGGAGTCACTGTCATTAAGCCAGGCTGATCAGCTGACCTGGGGAGCAGACAGACGAGGGAACACTGTCTGCAACATGCAGCACAATTGGTCTTCTTCTTTCTTTTGTTTTTCTTTATCACGTTGCTTGAGTTTCCAAACAGCATAATGCATGTTTAAGTTGGGGGATAATTAATAGTGGTGGTAGAGCAATACTGAACATTTATCTGAATCTTACAGTATCCTAGGAATTGTTGTAAACGCCAGTTTACCACATTTAATCTTCCTCAAGGGCCTCTGACATATAAAATCTTATTTTCACCATTTACAGATTTAAAAATTCAAGTTTTGGGGTATCTAACATCACACAGGTAACCTGATGGAGCAAGTATACCAGTCCCATACCAGGTATGGGACCCAAACCATATCACTTACCTCAGTTCTCTTGGGGACACAATCCTCCCTCCATAGTTTAAAATTTGGGTTTTAGATAACTCACTGCCAGTTTTATCAGGAAAACATAAATATGATTGAAGCATTTGTTGCTAGTGTTTTCTAACTCTAAGATATAATTTCCATTCAAAGAAAAATTAAGTTTTTCTTCTGCAAAATTTTTATCTCACTAAAACAAACATATAATTCAATAATAGAGGAAGAATATATATTATTTTGTCCATAAATACTTGGAAATAAAAAACCTATTTACTAATATGTTGTAGTAAATAAGTGTTATATAAAATGAGACTCAAAAGAAAAAGAAAACAGATTGGTTTTTCTCCATAAAAACAGATTAATAGAGGAAAATGAGGAAATACGGTTCAAGAACTAATAGAAATGTTTCAAAAGCAAAACAAAAGTCAAGAACCGTGATTTCCTTTTGCTCCTGCAATACTGTCTGCCTGTCTGGTGGACTCACCAACAGATAATGTCTTGACCCTCATTTAGACGGGCTAATGGTATGTGGCTGGCTTAAGTGTGCAAAGGAAAATAGAAAAGTTACATCATCCCTGGTTTCACTGTGTCCATTAGGGGTGTAAAGAAAAGTTTTCTGTTAATAAATCCTCTCTGGGATTTTCAAGAAGAATGCAAATAAAGGAGCTAAAGAGGCTAATAGATGTCTCTGTTGCCTTTTTCTGGTTTTCTTCTCCTGTTTTTTTTCTTTTTTCTTAAGATACAGGATCTCACTATGTTGCCCAGGCTGTAGAGCAGTAGTTTTTCACAGGTGTGATGACAGTACACGAAGGCCTCAAACTCCTGGCCTCAAGTGATCCCCTCCACCTCGTCTCCTGAATAGTTGGTACTGCAGACACCCACAACTGTACCCAGTTGTTTTGTTGTTGTTGTCATTTAACCTCCTTTTATTGACAAAGTGAAAATCTCAACAAATATTAACAATAATCTCAAATTTAGCCATCACTAATGAATTTTTATTTATGATGTATGAGTTAGTTATATATTTGGCCTTTTATGTTTTACACAATATTTTTATGTGTGTTTTTGTGTCTCCTTTAAACTTCAAGAAATTTTTGTAAAATATTGCTATTTGTGTTCCAATCTTTCACAAATATAGGCTTTGAAACTCAGAGTTTCAATTGATGTGTCAAAGACAGTATCACTAATCAGTAATGTACTCCATACTAAAATTGAGGTTGTCTTTTTCATATCTTCATTGCTGTCCCTCTTCATTCGGTTGTTATGTCCTTTCTTCTGTCACTCTCCTGCAAGCTGTATCACTTTAGGGATGCATTTAATTTTAAAGTTTGTTTTTATTTTAAATATTGACATGACTAAAAAAATCTAAAAACACAACTGGTACAAAGAAAATTTAAAAATCAATCATAATGTAATAGTCCAGATATAAACAAAACCTTACCTTTAAACTTAAATATTTATGAAGTATACACCATGTAGCAGACATCTGGAATAAAATAGGGAACAAGGTGAAAGCAACTCCACCCTCTTGGATCTTGCAGACAAGTATTTCTGAACTGTTTTCTGTGCATGTGTTCTAGAATGTTGTTGATCATGTTCCCATGTCATGGATGTCTTCATGACAACCTTTGTCTGGATGGTGTCTGTCTTCTCTTTGCTGGGCCCACGCTTGAGGGCTGGAGCTTCCACTGACTTCCAGGGCTTCAGCCGGCAGAGAGCTTGTCCTGACTCCTGTGCTGCCTCGTTTCCTGTAAGGCTATGGAGTGCAGGCCCTGGGGAGACACTGGAGAGCAGGAGAAAGAAGGAAATTGTGTCTTATTTCCTGCTCCCGGTGATGATCTCTCGCAGCAGCAGCAGCAACTGCAGGCAGCAGGGGCCATGTGGGGGTTGTAGGCTTACAATAAGATTCAGCAGTATTTGTGGGGACGCAGGCATCTGGGTTACTGCATATCAGCATGCAACGGTCACACAAGCATTCCTGGGCATGCGGTTTCCATCAGCTCAGCACTGAGGAGCATATCCGGTTGCCACATGAGGTGACAACTCCTGGTCCTTGGGTGATAACACTCAGCTCCGTGCTCCATCAGCCTTCCCTGCAGCCCTCTTTGCCACCCCATAACCACTTTAGTACATTAAATCTGTTCTATTTAAAATGGGTAACGTGTGTATATGTGACTAGACATTGATATTCTATCAAACTAATTATACCACAATCAAATGGGTAACGTGTGTATATGTGATTAGACATTGATATTCTATCAAATTAATTATACCACAATTACAATCTAAATAGTGAATATTTATATTGTGTTCAAATTTCTAAGTGATAAATTGTTTGACATTTTAAATAGCTTATTTACAAAGGATTATCTTTTTATCGCGTATATTTAAGGTATACAA